CGACCAATCCTCGCCCGATATATTCCTAATGTTAACAGCGTTAACAATGATTATATTAATTGACTGTCGTTAGCCGATTATTACTAAAAGCCGTGTTTCTGAAAAGCTATCACTGTCTTTTGAAAGAGGCTGAAGCCCCATGATATTCTCCCTTGGGTGAGCAACTGCTACTGACTTTGATGGGCAGACCATAAAATTTAATCTATAAAAGGGACGAAGAAAAAAACTAATGTACATGTCTAAAATATATCTGTAATAAACTTTTCTTCAAATATAATAAAAAATACGCTATTTTAAAATACAAGGTACTCCCCACCACAAGCAAAATCGAGGAAACTCGTACTTCGACCAACGACACTTTCTGACTAACATGATTAAAAAGACAAGTTAGATTATAAGTAAACAAATCAACACCTCAGATTCTGAGACTAACCTCGCACATACACAAGACACTTCTGAAGAGACAACGGTAGTTTGTTTCCTCAAATTTTCTAAAGATTTTGATTGTTCACCAAGAGCTCAAAATAAGACCCATATGTTTCTCCCAGTCGTAGAATGCCTTTACAAAGACGGCCTTACGTAACAAAGTCCGCGAAAGACAAAAAACAAGCATACGACAGACTTCGACGAAATGCAGAACAACTTAAAAACTGGGATAGTGAGAACAATTTTCTCATCATTCCATTCAAATATCAGGAAATCATTTTCTCGTGGCAAAATAGACGTATCCTCATTAAAGAACCATCTCTCCAATTTAACAATAACAATAGACAAATCCTTAGGACAGGCAATTGTCCAAAAACTACTGATGACGAAACATACAACTAAAAAACAACAAAAATGCACAAATATTTAAATGCTCTGACACAATTTTTAACAAAAAATATTGATAAGAAGACAGAACGCTACTTAGAAAGCATATAAAGTCAATAGTGATCTATTCTTTTGAGATCTGGACTAGGACATTCCAGACAAAATATCTGAGACAAACAGGGATGGTCGAAATTAAACATACCTCTCTCGTAAAAGATAAATGATCAGAATGTTCAGTACTCGACATCAGACTTGTAATGAGCTTGGTCTTAACCATTCTCAAGAAAAATATCTTGGGACATCCCACTAATGAAAACACGTCCTAATATGAACATCAAAATGGAACTGAACCATCACATCGTCCGAGAATGAAATAGAACGATATACAACTGCCTCAGTGTCTCATTCTTCTGCACAATCTTTTCCTAAACTGCATGCAAAAATATATTTTTAAGAACGGATTCTTTATGAAGGATTACATTAATCGAACTTGTGTCATCGAAAGCAAATTGATCAAAGTGTTTGGAACTGAAAAGTGGGTCGTAAAGAAGATTTCGAGTGGAGGAATTTTATGAATAGGATGAAGGCCAAACTTTCAGCAATTGTTTTTATCTTCCGTAAAAAATAAAAATGTTACATTAAAATTACCAATTTCACTCAAGTTACGCAAAAATACTATAATTAAAAAAAAGACATTATTTAAAGTTCAAATGTTGAGCATATGTCCTTAAGAAAAAAATATTTATCTTCAATATTGTCGTAGGAAATCGTCGACAATTAATTAAACTTTTGAAATTTTCAAAAATACATAGATGTCAACAAAAATTTGACCTGCTCCAATTTTTGGAAGCGTTCTCTGCTCTATTCGAGAAACAAAAATTACAAATGTAGCAAATTTATGAGAACATTTTGAAATTTTGAGTCACGTCAAGTAACCACAAAAATGAAAATCTACATTCAAATTTAAGAGGTAGTGACATTAGCCAAATCAATAGGGAAATATCAGTTTTAGTGTATATCCTGTCTACCGTTTAGACGCTGGCGTTGGTCACAAACACACGGACGGACGTTTCGCAATGTCACGGTCGTGAGGTTATCGGGAAAACTGAATTAAATTATTATTATTATTATTATTATTATTATTATTATTATTATTATTATTATTATTATTATAGGAGTATTTGATACGAAACTAGCGGAACCCGGACGTCCTGCTGTCCATCTCTCTCTCTCTCTCTCTCTCTCTCTCTCTCTCTCTCTCCCTTTCTTTTTTCCGTCTCTCTCACTGTCCCTGTTCTTGTCTCCGTCTTCCCGTCTCTCTTTCTGCTTGTTTCTCTCTCTGGGTCCATATTTTCCTCTGTTCCTCTCTGTACATGACTCTCCCGTGCTTTATTTCACAATCACACTCTTTATACTTCAAGGTGCTGCGGGTTGCGTCGAGCGCCGTTGCGTAGAGAGCCTGAACAGGGGTGCTTGGGTCAGTATAAAATCATTATCTACGCGTGTCTACGTGTGCTGGCACATTCCCATCGTACTATGCCTACATTCTTCCCACAAGTGCAAGCAATCAGTTGACCGAGTTGTACCGCAATGAGATGGTAGCGCATTGGGTATGAACCAACCAACAAACAAACACACAAACAGGCATAGTTTTTATGTATTATATATGAGAACTTATTTCAAAAGTATATGGAACGGGCGCTGCGCACTTCCTTGAGTGAAAAGTTTCCAGACGAGCGCAAGAGCGGCGCTCAGCAGACAGATCCCGCACGTAGCCCCGCCCAGCCGCTAACGTGCCGATGGAACGTGCGTCAGCGCTCCACGCGCGTGGGAGGGTGAAACGCTGAGCGAGCAAGGGCGAAGGGGGAGGCGGGAAGGCGGCTGGGGACGCAGATGACGAAAAACTTGAACGGAGGAGAAATTGGAGATCTCCTGCCGTTCACTTTGGTAAACAAATTATAGAACTATAATATAATATAATATAATATATTATTATATTATATATATAATATATATAATATATATAATATATATAATATATATTATATATATAATATATATAATATATATAATATATATAATATATATAATATAATAATAATATAATATAAACTATAGAACTAAATATAACTAATAACACAGGTCGATCAACTATCCTCCTCCTGCCCAATGAGCAAATAGAAGATGACCAACTCGTTTTGAAGATGAGTTAAATGTTAATTTGATGAATTTTTGCACAATATAAACTTTATTAATAGTTAATTGTATTGAACGTTATTATAAAATGTCCTTTTTCAAAAATGAATTTCAAATAATTTACTTTTTTTAATTGACAAAGAACAAAAAATATATGCGAAATCGATAGACTCTGGGCAAAGTCGGGCACTTCAGCTAGTAAAATAATAAACGAAAAATAGGACATTCCGCAATGAGAATACCTAGAAGTTGTGAAGTTCGCACTTATAGAAACATTTTCAAATGATAAATAAATAGAGATATTGTCAGGTATCAATATTTTAATTCCACTAATGATCATTTCGATCGCG